TTTTTTTTGTGTTTACACTCTACACATTATTAAATACGCGACTGTTCTTTCAAAAATGAATTATTGCCACACATTTTATGCTTATGAATCTTATTGGAAATCACTATTTGACATTTTTTTTTTCTTAAAGCAGCACGACTATAAATAATGTCATTTTCACCATGGTAAATTATGTCATTTTCACCATGGTAAATTTTGTAACAGAAACCTAACCAACTCTCTTTTATTCAATAATGGCAAAAATGAGCTACAAGTACAGTATTAATAGCTACCTTTAGATGTAAAACGTAAAAGGAAAACCATAAACATAAAAGGAAAATGCAACTTTAATTTCTAACTCTCATGCCAAGCAATTTGTAGCATTTTCAACAATGGAAATGTGGAGTCTGTAGAATTTAGAAAGTGGTGTGTCAAGAGTCATGTGAACTCAACTACTGATCATTAATTCCTTATCATTACAAACCGCAACAGACAGGGGCTGAGCCAGGATTTAAAATTTACCAGGGCTAAAACTATAACATATACAATATATTATTTTAATAAGTGCTTTTGCACTAAATAATTTTTTTTGAAATATACTCATTCAACTACAATATATTTTTTTAGCTTAAATTTAGGACTGAATTTAAAAAAGTCAATGACATTTCATTACGACAACAAGAAAATAAAAATTAAAAAGATAGAAAAAGAACACTTGTTAGGAAAAAAATATAACTTGTTGGACATTTTTTCCTCAAATTCTGGAGGAGCTCTTTAATTTTGACAAAATATAAAAAACTCCTCAAAATTGATCTATGAGATGATTATTTAAATTTAAAATTTTTTCAATAATTTTATTTGATGTGATTATGTCATATATTTTAATTAGTTAGACTAACATTATAAAGATTGTTCAGTTTAAATTTTAGTTAATTATATATAACTAAAATTATTTATTTTAATTAATTATATATATGTATATATATATGTGTGTGTACATGCTCCAAAAAATTTCTATACATGACTCCACCCATGGCAATAGATACATTGTCCTAACTCAAAACAAATTACAACCGTTGAATCATATGGCTGCAAAATTGATGGTCTTCTTACCATCCTGACCTTTGCTAAGAAAATGTTTGAAGTAGTCTCCAAACACAACATGTTTATACTTGGGTTTTTCGCAATGGCCCAACGCCTCTGGCAGAGGCCCAATGATTGAGTTCGTCAAGGCATTAGCAAATATGGGGACAGAGACCCTGTTTGTACTCCCCGTTAAGAAGACTCGGTGCTCAATGCTTTGGTACTTGCCATTGCTGAGGATTTGCAAAGTATCCCCGACATTGACAATTAATGCGCCTTTTGTAGGCGCCACAAACACCCACTCCTCTTGGTCAGTATTTGCACGTGCATATAGTCCACCAACATCATCCTGTAAGAGGAGAGTAATGGAAGACAAGTCCGCATGTCGATCGGACCCCACAGCCAAGTCAGGTCTCGGGCACTCCGGGTAGTACACGAGGCTCGCTGCCAGCACTCCCATAAGGGAGCGTTGCTTGTCCTCGTCAATCTCCTCAACTTTGATGCCTTTCATCAGAGTCTGGAGCAACTTCTTTATTATCAACCGAGCCCAACTCACATAGCAAGACATTCGGTCTCTGGACAAAATAAAAAATTGAAAATGAGGTATTAATTATTATACTGTACTTTAGTTATTTTAGACGATATATGATACTTCAATTTCACAACAATTCTGCAATGCATATTATGGCACATAGACTTGATATCTTTGGTAATCAATCAATGTCTTCACACTATTGAGAGGTGTCAACAAGCATTAAACAAATTGTTCAAAGTTTGCCTTATGTTACATGACTTTGAGGTAACCTTTTTTTTAAGGAAAAAAAAATGATTGAATTATTCATAAGTACCACGATTTTATTTTTTTTAATATCTACAAACTTATGTTTTCTTTAGTACAAAATTCATGATTGAAGTGGAAAATGTTCGCAAGTTGAATAGAAGAAAGAGGACGGTAAAAATAATTACATTTGAATGTATAATTTTTTATGTGTGCTTTGTACTTTTTTAAAGAAACAAATTTATAATTCTTAGCACAACAAATTCTTTCTTTCTTAATTTCACTGCATTAATTTATGTTTGGTATTGATATATGGCATAATTTTATGTTGTTCTTGGATTATTTTAATTTAGTATGATTGTTCAAATTCTATTTTCGCTTAGCTTAATTTATTAATTATCATGGTTAGACCATGAATATGAAAAAGTATTCAATAATTTATATTTGTATGATAATATGCTTTATTTCTTCAAGTCAATTTCTTTTAGCATGTCCCGTGCATTTGCACGGGCAACTATACAAGTAATTAAGTAGAATTTGTAGGCCATTATTATACCTGGTAACAGCAGGCCAAAATTCAAACTCTTTTTCTACTCGGTGGTCCACAAGATGGACCAGATGATCCTTCCAGTCCATGTAATCGTCAACACGGGCACTGAAACTGCTCTTCAGGGTCACAGTTTCAGTTGGCGAATTTTCTGGGAGATACTTCATGCGCTCGTCCACGGGAAGCTCAAAGAAGTCATGAGCGCACTGGATCACGTCATCCAGAACCTCAACGGGAATCCCGTGATTGAATATTTGGAAAAATCCCCATTTGGTGGCTGCCTCACAAATAGAGTGGGCAACACTAGGGTTTTCCCAGTCTGACACGTCGATCACCGGTATGGATTTCCCCTCGGCAACTTTAATGCCGTCCAACCTCTCGGACGGCGGCTGAACAAACTTTTGCGGGAGTTCCGCAAGTTTTAGTTGCGATAACCCCTTCACTCCATTGCCCTGTGTTAACATGAACTCAATTAAATTTTCTGGTTGAGACATTTTATTTTTCTCTACTTAGATATGTGTGAAGAGAAAAGTAGAAGGAAGGTTTTGTTGGAAATAAAAATATAACAGGTTTGAGTGGAAATGAAGAGATGGTTTGTTCATAGAGGCCGTTATTTATAGCATAACACTTGCAATTGGGGTCAATTTACAATTCGGCAAACTTCATGGGACCATTTCACAACTTTCTTTATATTTCTAATACTAGATCATATCATTATAACAAAATTATTTTACAGGCAGATATTGTATTAAAATTTTTGAATCTTATTTAGGTGATCAATCTAAATAAAATTAAATTCATGGTTGATCAGTCAAAATAACACAAACAATTTCATAAAATAGCAAAACAATCATCCACCGTAATTAGTTAAACATGGTCAATTATGTATGGTTCGACATTCCTGGAACTAGAAATAAAAACTAACCTAACATAATAAATATAAAGAAAAAAATATAATTATCATTCTCGTGTGCAGGTGCGACTTCTATCTGTCCGTAGAATTCTTCGCGCCTATCAGTCTTTTCCCGTGCGGCTCTCTTTTATGTTCTTTCTCCTCTCCGCAAATAATTCACTCCCAGCCTTATGTGTACTAACACCAAGAGTTATTTAATAATATGTATCATATTTATGATTAAAAATTTACATTAAGTAAGTAAGTTATTTAACGATTAATACATCTTAGCTTAATTTTTAGATTCTAATAAAAAGATAATATACATGTGGAATTTTACATACATTAATGACAATTGTTATATGAATATAATGAATAATTAAACTTTTTATATACTTCGAACATTTTATTAATAATAATCATAACTTTACCACCAAATTAAAAAAAAAATAAAAATTAAAATGAACAATCTTATATACCATACAATTTAAAAATTATAAGTTATATGTCGTGCAAATTATACTAATAATTAATGATATATTAAAATGCCTTTACAAGATGGATTATTTATCTAATAATCGTTTACGTATAATTTAAGGTTCAAATTTTGAAATTAATTTACAATTGAAAGAAGATATATGCAACTAGTATTTTGACTTGTGCATTTGTAAAGATATATAAATAAAGTATTGTGAGTTATTTGTATACATATAATGATTAATGATTTTTGCCAAATTTACAATTAAAGGAGCTGAAATATTTATTTTTTAAATTGTGTTTATCATATTGGATGTACTGTATATTTGGTATGTATCTTTTTTTCTAAATTATTTATTATTTATTTAGAAATTACAAATACGTTTTTTATTTTCCAAAAGAAGTTAATTTAAATGTAACAACAACAATAACATCTATTATATATATATATATATATATAATTGCTAGCATATATCATTTAATAAAATCTATTTAATAAAATCCTTACAATTTTCTCTCCATTTTCGGTTATAAAATTTATCATTAATATTTTTTTACTTCTCACAATAATACATCCTATTGAGTGTAATCATGTATGTTTCTATTATATTATATAATAGTTATTGGCTTATTGCTAATACCAACTAATAATCATCACAATAAATATAAATTACATAATTGTAAACAATTGTTTCAAGCTATTTATTTTAACATAAATATTATCTTTTTCTTTTGTATCTCATGAAAAAATTTCTTTAAATACAATTAGTAAGTTGTTTTAATAGCATAGTAAAACAATTGTTCATAATAATAAAATCGTTAATTTATTTTTCTAATAATATGTTCATTATCTAGAATTTTAATATTAAATTTCCAAATATTACTTATAATATTGTATGTACATATGTGCCTATGCACATGATATCTACTAGTCACGTCAAATAGCCAACACATTATATGGTTAGCTGTCAGTAAATTAAAATTTTAAAATAATTTGTAATTTTGAAGTGATTAGTGTATTGATTATCTAA